GAAGAAGAATGAAAAGTGCCAGACAAGTCCTCCCAAATAACATCTACTCAACAGATTTCCATTCTGGACTGCCATTCTGTCTATGGCATGTCAATCAATTCGACTAAAGGAAGCCCACTTATCTGTATGTTAAATGTGCTAATTCACTGGGTGGAGTGACACATAAGGACATTCCAGTACTCCTAGTTCCTTTAAGGTCAGGGCCTAGAATGTACCTTGAAACCTGTTCCCTAGCTCGAGAAAGACAGGGAGCCATAAGAAAAAACTCCAGTGGAGGGAAAGGAAGAAAATGGCATCTCCTATTAGGTCTGCCATATTACGTGGCCTGTATAGAAGACCGGTGGGTCAAAGGGAAGCTGAAACGCTCACTAATAAGGGCAAAAAGGGTTTGTTTATCTTATAGAGTAATTCCTGCATATCTTATGTATCTTTCACTTGTGCCACTCATTTACATAGAATACCTTTATCCATAAGTTAGAGTATTTTTACCCCTCAGTGTTGGCAAACTGCAAAGTAACTTTAGGGTAAAAGAGAGGAAAGGTATGTCATCCTTTGATTCCCTAGATTCCTAGTGGGAGCATTTTCTTTGTTATTCTCTGAACAAAAGATAAAGAGGAGGCTGGACTTTCAGGTACTTGTGAAAATGCTATTTCTAGGCCTCCATCCACACGGTGCCTTTCGGCGTTCATCTGGAGGTGATGAAGGTGACGGTGGATACAGGTGACTCCTCCGCTCTACCCATCCTCACAGCCCTGCTCACTCTTCTCAGGGATGCCCTACCGTTTCCCCATCAAGTTCAAAGGCAGCACCAGAAAGGTAGAGTGGGCGTCCCTGGAATCTGTGTCTTTATTATTTCCATGGTCTGCTTCAAGTGTTATTCCATGTGTTTGTTTAATTGATGAAAACCTCTAGGTGGCAGGAGGCTGGGAAGGCGGCTAGGCTTTTTTGTATTTATTATCATGGAAAACATTACCCTTTATAAATCTTTTTGCTACAAATAGCATTTATTTTTCTTTTATGTAATCTTTTTTTTTTCTTTTTCTTTTTTTTTTTTGAGACTGACTCTCACTCTATCATCCAGGCTGGAGTGCAGTGGTGCGATCTTGGCTCACTGCAACCTCTGCCTCCTGGGTTCAAGTGATTCTCATATCTAAGCCTCCTGAGTAGCTAGGTTTACAGGCATGCGCCACTATGCCTGGCTAATTTTTGTATTTTCAATAGAGTTGGGGTTTTGCCATGTTGGCCCGGCTGGTCATGAACTCCTGACCTCAAGTGATCCACCTGCCTCGGCCTCCCAAAATGCTGGAATTATAGGTGTGAGCCACCATGCCAGGCCACTTTTATGCAATCTCGATATAAAACCAATCCCATGTAGTCAGCACAAATTTTAAAGGGTGTAAATGGTGAAAAACTAATGCCCTTCTCAAAGAGAAGGAAATTCCATTACAGGGAATCTAGGGGCCTTTCAACGCCAGAGGATTCCACCCAGGGTAGTTGGTGGCTACAGGGATGAAAGCCTGCAGTTTGAAAAGAAACACATGTAAGAACATGCGCCACATGGGAGCCTAGCTTCAAGCTCCCCTTACCAGGCTTCCCTTCCCCTTTGCTGAATCGTAGCTCCTGATCCTGCCTGCATCCTACTGGCCTGTCTTGCATAAAGATCTAGTTTTGGAATACAGGAAATATGAAGATTGTTCTATGTTAAGGTTCCAAGCCAAGTATGGGCCCATATCCTCAGCTAAGATAATTATTGGTAGGTGAATAAATTAGGCTTGCTGACACTTGTCTGTTTAAGTAAAGATAACATTTTAAACATTAGAACGCTCACTTCACTCTACAGAGTCGACTTTATTCAGCACTTCTATTAGCTGTGGCTTACTAAAGCAGAGGTCAATTTTTAAGAAAAGCTTTATGAATGGAAAGACAAATGTAAGCAAAGTGGATTCATATTCGGAAAGTGTGAAAACCGAGATGCAGGTACAAGTATATGTAATTGCTATAAAATGTGGAGAGGCAGAATGAGAGCGCAGAGAACACAGACTCGGGAGTGAGATGCTCTGGGTTTACAGCATGGCTCTGCCACTGACCGCCTGGGAAACCCTGGGCAAATGACCTGACCTCTCCGGGCCTTGCTCTCTCCTCATCTGTACAATGGGGCAATAATAGAACTTGTCTCAAAGGATTGTAGAGAGGATTAAATACGCTAGAGCATGTGAAGTACTTGGACACACTGCTTGACACTTAATAAGTGGTGTGAAAGTATTAGCTTCCTAATATAAGCCTTGCCTTTGCCTTCTTTATCCTCTTGTTTTTTTTTTGTAACCTTCACCCTCCTCTTCCTTCTCCTTCTCCTTCTCCTGTCTCTTCTCCTCTTCCTCCTCCTCTTTCTTCATCAGTATGTTTGTACCTGCTAAATGGCCAGGGCTGGCTATATAATTTGTGGAGCACAGGACACAATGAAATTTCAGGACCTCTTGTCCAAAACTCAGGGGGAAATAAATTTCTCTTTCTTCTGTCTCTCTCTCTCTTACCCAATCTATCATGGGGTTCTTTTTTAAAAAAACTTGTGTATTATACTTTAAGTTCTGGGGTACACGTGCTGATCACACAGGTTATACAGGTATACATGTGCCATGGTGGTGGTTTGCTGCATCCATCGCCTCGTCATCTACATTAGGGATTTCTCCCAATGCTATCCCTCCCCAATCCCCGCCCCCCTTGCTATTCCTCCCCTAGCCCCCTCACCCCTGGCCCCTGTGTATCACGGGGCTCTTTGTTGGCTATTTATTGACCCATCTCTCAGGCACAGGGATATTCTCTGGGCAAGTATAGACTCACAAGTGCCTGGAGCTCCTCCCCGAAATTTGGCATGTGAGTGTGCGCTCAACTTCAACCCTTGCTGTGTTTGTGTCCAGCTTCCCACCAGGGCTGGGGCGACAGAGATCCCTGGGCTGGGGGCAGGAGTGGGTTGGCAGGTAACCCATCCCGGGGAGGCAGAGAGGTGGTGAGGGGGCACTGCGCAGAAGCACAGGCCCCAACCCTGGTGCACGCGTTATTGTTCCGCGGGACTTCACTTAGGAGAAAAACATTCAAAGAGAAAATGATCAAGAATTTTCAAGATGATCACCAGATGGGCTCTGTGTCAGATGTCCATGAAGTTGGCAGTGACAGTAGCAGAAATGGTGTAAACTTAGCAATCAACTAAACTCCATTTTGGTTATTAAAAGCGATTCTTTGGTTTAAGATTTAGAAATTGGATTTTATTATCAGTTTTAGTGAGACCAACACAAATTAGGCAGCTCATTTTGTCCGTTTATGAAACTTAGGGGGGAAAATGTACATTTTAACCAACTGGTCTACCCCAGAGATGTAGTGAAAAAGTTGCTTTTACAAAGATCTTTGTGCTCTTCTACCCAAAAGCATTAGATGGGCATTTTCCAAAGCGTGCTGCTTGAAAAAAGGGTTCTGTGAGGAACAGTTGAGTCCCGGGGTAGAACAGAATTAACAGAGTTTTGAAATTCGGGACTACCCACTTACTAAGTAGGTAGCCTAATTGTTTTTCTGTTTATTTACCTTAGGTCTTATTCTTTTCTAATTAATCATCTTAGATTTTGGAAAGTGCGGAGAAGGCGTGGAAGCAGAGTTAGTTTAGCAAGCTGAGATATTGTCAAATTTCAAAATGAATTTTTAAAATTAAATTTGATTTTTTTATTTTTTAAATTTTACTTTAAGTTCTGGGATACATGTGCTGAATGTGCAGGTTTGTTGCATAGGTATACATGTGCCATGGTGGTTTGCTGCGCCACCTGTCAACCCATCGTCTAGGTTTTAACCCCCTTAATGCATTAGTTATTGCTCCTAATGCTATCCCTCCCCTTAGCCCCCACCCCCAAAGGGCACCGGCGTGTTGTGTTCCCTTTCCTGTGTCCATGAGCTCTCATCATTCAATTCCCACTTATGAGTGAGAACATGCGGTGTTTGGTTTTCTATTCCTGTGTCAGTTTTCTGAGGATGATGGTTTCCAGCTTCATCCATGTCCCTGCAAAGGATATGAACTCATTTTTTATGGCTGCATAGTATTCCATGGTGTATATGTACCACATTTTCTTTATGCAGCCTATCCAAAATGAATTTTTAATCTTAAATGTAACTGGCCTCTCAGTTCTTCCACCACGTCACCTCCAATGAACTTTTTCTTTACCCACTCCTGAGACCATAATCTCAGTCCCTTTCCTCTGTCCCCTAGCTAACCTACTCTAATACTCACTAGTGATTTTTCTGCCTTGTTAACGAATTGACTATTGATAAAACACTGACCAGCACTTTAATACCTCCCTCAGTGCCCTCACTGCCTTCTGTCTCCAGCTTAACGGCCATGCCCTTTCATTAGGGACATTAGCACCCTAATTCTTTCATACCTCCTCCCTCACCAAACTTGGCCAGGAGAGCCCCAATCCTGGTTAAAACCCAACTACCTACTCTGTGTCTGCACTTGGCTGTTGTCGGTGCTAACTCTTCTCACTTTAAATCCTTGCCCTCACATCTCAAATGAACACTGAACGTAGCAGCAAATCTTCTTTATTTCACTTTCTTATGCTGCAAATTTACTATTTTTATGCCTCCTCCTCCTCCCTCCCTCCCTCCCTGTTCTTATCTTGGGACCCGGCTTCGTTCTTCATCAGAAAAATAGAAGCAACTAAGTAGTAGTTTTTTACTTTTTTTGGCAGCTAATCTACCCCATACCCCTTTCTTTTCCTTCTTGTATCATAAACTGCCCTTCATCCTCTCAAGGAGTTATTTCTACTCTGTACCACTTTTCAGCTCATGAACTCTTACCAATACCTCCCCTCCTGCGTCACTGGCTGCGTCTCCAGCATCCCTACTCTGTCTAGGGTGGTGACCTCCAGCCTTTTTGGCACCAGGGACCAGCTTTATGGAAGCCAATTTTTCCATGGTCTTGGGGTGGGAGTGGGGGATGGTTTTGGAATGATTCAGGTGCATTACATTTATTGTGTACTTTATTTCTGTTATTATTACATAGTAATATGTAATGAAATAATTATACAACTCACCATAATGTAGAATCAGTGGGAGCCTGAGCTTGTTTTCCTGCAAGGAGATGGGCCCATCTGGGAGCGATGGGAGACAGTTGCAGGTCATCAGGCATTAGAGTTTCACAAGGAGTTGGCAACCTAGATCCCTCACACGTGCAGTTCACAACAGGGTTCTTGCTCCTATGAGAATCGAATGCTGCTGCAGATCTGACGGCGGAGCTTGGGTGGTCATGTGAGTGATGGAGAGCGGCCATAAATACATGGAAGCTTCACTCACTCACCCACTGCTCACATCCTACTGTGTGGTCCCCTAGGGAGGTTGAGGATCCCTGGTCTAAGGGATACAAACTAGAGCAAAAAATGTGCTCTGAAAGCTCCTGTTTAAAGAACAAAATAAAAAACAAACTTTACATGATCCCATTTTATCCTGCTAGCTTCTGCTGCTTTTCTCTGGACCCCTTGAGAGCAAACCTTCTTTAAGAGTCGTCTATAAGAGCTATCTTCACTCCCTCGCTTCAGTTCTTGGCTTCACTCATTGCAGCTTGATTTCTGTCCCCACTCCTCTAACTGCTCACGTCAAGGCACCATTACCTCCATGCTCTCAAGTCCAGTGGTTTTACTTTATACGATATTGCCTCATTTTTGATAGACCTTTAAAAAAATACCTTGACTTCCATGATGCCACATACTCCTGGTTTTTCTCCCAACTCTTTGGCTCTTCCTTTTGGCTCCTCTGGCTCTTCCTCCCTGGTAGACCTGTAAATGCTGGAGGCCCTTGGGACACATTCCTGAGCTGCCTTCTAATCCCAAGCAATATTTTTTCCTGTGTATGATCTCATCCAGTCGTAAGGTCTTCAATATAATCTGCACGCCAACGACTCCCTAACCCGTGTCTCTAGCTCTGACCTTTGCTTTGACTCTCAGAGTTTCTATATCCAGTTGTCACAGGCATCATCTTCACGTGGATGTTTGATAGGGTGCCCAAATTACCATGGTCAAAACAAAACGGTTGATACTTCCTTTCCCTCCCAAATCTGCTTCTTTCACAATCATCCTATCGCTGTAAATAGCCCTGTCATCCACTTAGCTGCTGAAACCAAAAATCAAGGAACTATCTTGGTGTTCTCTTTTCTTTACCTCTCTATGTCAAATGTATCAGCAAGACTTGCCAACACTTCTTTCAGAATTCATCCCTAAACTGCCCACTTCTACCTCCAACACATCACTCTACTACATACTGTCATCTTTTCTAACGTGAACAGCTGCAGTAACTGCCCGATTAGTTTCTTTGCTTCTACACTTATATCCATATAGTCCTTTCTCTACACAGCAACTGGAGAGATGCTTAAAAAAGGCCAATCAAACCATGTTTTAACCATTCTGAAGGCTTCCCTTGATGCTGGGAATAAACTCCAACCTCCTTGCACTGGTTATGCTCCATCTGGTCTAGACCTTGTCAACCTCTCCATCTATCACATGTGATTCTTCCTGTGCTTGCCATGCATCCTTCAGCCACTCTGGCCTTCTCTTTGTTCCTCTAATATGCCAAGGTCATCTTAACTAAGGGACCTTTACTCTAGGTTCCCATTGCCTGGAATGCTCGCGCCTCTGATTTCCACGTAGTCGGCTTCTTCTTCTTACTCAGATGTTGACTTAAATGTCACCCTGGTCATTTATATCATTATGTAGCAATGAATTCCTGTTTTATTCAATGGGTTATGATCAGTTACTAGCATTAAGCATTTTGATGCTCAAATTGTCCCAAACTTGGGCACTCAGAGTTTCTTCAAGCTGGCTTCTGTGTCCCTTTGAGACACCTCTGTCATTCTTTGAGTACTTTATTATATTCTGCCACAGAAAGATGTTTCAGGCTCATTTTATACTTTGTCTGGAATCAGTTCTTCAAGGAGCTTTAATTTCTTTTACTGGAGGATGGCATTGAGTAACCAAGATATGGACTCCAGATGTACTCATTGTTACTGTGATGTCATTGCTTTTAGGGGTTCTCAGCAGACAGAACTGGCACACACACACATATCTATCTATCTATCTATCTATCTATCTATCTATCTATCTATCTAATCTATCTATCATCTATCATCTATCTATATCTATCTATCATCTATATCTATCTATCTATCTATCTATCATCTATCTATCTATCATCTATCTTTAACAACATGAGTTTACACTGATACCCACAGTTCCTACCTAATACTACATACTTTTAAAAACCAACCTTCTTTCCATATTTATAGCTTTTTATTTTCCAGCAGTGAGAACCCTGGCTCCCACTATCCTTGATATATTTGTTTGCTCAGTCCCTCCATATGTAGCCAATCTCCCCACATGGACTGTCTCCTTGGCCCAGCACTGCTGATTCGCATTTGGGAATCCATGCTTCCAGCCCTACTGCTGTTTGATATTAACAACTTATAACTTTGTAGTAGGTACGTTCGGTCTGTCTGTTCATTCATTTGCTCATCTCTCAAATATTTACCGAATGTTTAGTTACATCAGGCACAATGCTGGTTACTGCATAGACACCAATGAAGGCGGCGGCCAGAATATATGTCCTCATGGTTGCTACCCTAGACCTTGTGTCTCTGCTCTAGACAATTCGTCTTTAATAAACTTTAAAGTTTGCTGAAGAGAAATGGATTAAGGTTACATATAATACTTATAGAAGTAGGGCTCAACTATTTTTAATATACCCTTTGGCTATTCATACAGTGCTAAGTTAAAGAATGTCCTAGGTAGACACAGGGGGATAAACATATAGAAACTGCATTTAGTCGACTTTATCCGAATATGATTCTGGAATGTGGAGTAGGCATGACCAAGCGAGCAAAGCTTATTTCTGTCTGGTATGTTATGCATTAGCCATACTCAAGAGTTTTAAATTTTGGCTCCAAGAAATGCTTCCAACCCATGAATCTGCATTTTGTCATGTATCTCAGAGTGACTTGATGACCTGACTCATACACTTTAGTAAAACACAATGGGCTGCTCTAAAGGAAATGAGATTTAAATATATAGGCCTAATACTCATTTGCAAGTCAGCAGTGTTCCTTGCATAGAGTAGGTGCTTGATTAAAAAACAATGGTTATTTGAATTAAAATTTGTTATTATGTAACTTATCTTTGCCTGTAGTATGTGTTGATTAAGATACTTGTTAATAGCATTTCTTATTTGTCTCTGCCCTTCCCATTGGTCCCATAATGGGGCATTTCTGTTGCCTTTGCAATCTGATCCCTTGAGAGCTTCAATTCATTTTTGCCTTTTTCTATTTACTGTGGCCGCACTTCCTGCTAAACAGTCTTGGCAAAAACATTCTTCCTCCTTTTAACATCTGTAATTATAGGTTCTCAGAATTTCACTGAAATAATTTTTGTACCTCCCCCTGAGAGAGAAAATGCTAACACAGATATTAGAAATTGTTTATGAGGCCTGATTTGTGGCATATAAGATGGCTTCTTCAAGACTCAATCTGGGGATAAATGAGTTACTTTATATTCCATTTCCTTTTTCAAAAAACAAGTCTGGTTTTGTTCAGACCCCTTATTACATTTAGCCTCTGCTCTCATAATCCATCAACATTACTAGCTGAAAGATCAAAAAATAAAAATCTTCTGGTGTAGATTGAGAACGTTCCTGTTCCCAAGCTTGCTGTTAAAATAGCTGCAGCTCCCTTAAAACATGTGGGCCTATCTCCTACTTGCTTCTAGGATTTCCTGCAAACCAGAGTCAGTAGTCTGCCACATCAAGTGAACTTGGAAGAATGAATGAGAACAAGCTACTCTTTTTGCATGGCAACTTTTCATGACTGCATTCAATCTAAACCCATCATCCTCATTCGGTTTTAGCTTCCCTTCTTAGTAAAATCCAATTCATAAATTTTGTTGTCATGCACAGAGTTGGCCACAAGAAAGAACTAAAAACACAGGGCAGTTGAGACAGATTCCCACACAAAAGGGTTATGACTGTGTCTCAGCTGTCATTTGTGGTGAGGCATAGACCTCACTTTCAAATCGTTTCAAGTATCTTTGGCAAGAGGGAAGCCAAAGGTGTGTGAATGAATGACTCAGTGCTGTGTATTTTTAAGGCGTGGCCACATTTCCACCTGGCTTTTCTGTTTTTCTATTAGGATGCCCTGTCAAAAGGCTTTTAAATGCTTATTCCAAATAATAATAATAATAATAATAATGATAAGAATAATATTTGCTGAGCACTTGTTATCTGCACAGACTCTTCCAAGTTTGGGGGGAGTCTGTTATATGTATAGCCATACACCACAGTTAGATACTCTGCTTCTGAGAAGTGGTTCTCAAACTTATCAAAAGTAATCACCTGCTTCAAAGGCAGGTCACCACCAGATAACTGATTTGTGTGCTTAGGATGGGGCTCAGGAATTGAAAATGCTCCCAAGCTGCTGGGAAATTCAGCTATGATGGGCCAAACTTTGAAAACCAGTGTTTAGGGTGTTGAGAGGGCTCTGGGCTGTCACTGTACACACCATGATGTGATGGATAGTATTCCTGGAGAGCCATATGCATGCACGCTTTTGGTGAAGACAGTTGAATTTTGCCAGTGACTTACCCTCTCCTTTCTGAGAGGTATGTGCCATTTTTTCTTTTGCTATGCCAAGTACACAGGTGTCTGTAAACAGCACTTCAGTGTCACCCATGAAGCTCTCCGTTCAGAGGAATATCTTAGTGGTTCATTCTGTAAAGCTGAGAATCCATTTCTTGGGTGAATAACCACCCTCTAAAAGATGAATAGGGATTATTCATATGGGGAAATTTCTCACAGAAAAGAAGCCACCATTCTATCTCATGGAACGATGACAACTGTCAAATCTATGAGCTGAAAACACTGGGCTTCCCTTTTCTGGCATTACGCTCATCACTACAGAAGTGGTTCTAATTTTGCTGCTAGCAGATCGTAGACTGAGGTAGAGGCTGTGTTTGTGTTTCCAGAAATTTCCAGAGTTCACCCTTCCACTGGTCATCTAGCTATAGAATGGGGTAACACTGGAAAAATAGGCAGAATTGGGGTTGTAGCCTCTCAGGCTGGCTCAGTGCCCAAGGTTCTTGCATTCAGAAAACAAATGTAGATTCAAATTGTAAACATTCATAAAAATCAGAATGATATTTTTGACTTCTCGCCAACTTGTTTAAACTTTTCAACTTCTTTCTTTCAAAAAATAGAATTGCTGGAATATGGTGTGTGAGATTTTAGAGCCAGCATTTCTCCCCCTCATTGAAAAAAGTTCCCCAGAATGAAAAATTTTGCATCCGGTTTTAGTCATGAAAGGGCGCAGCTCTTTGTCAAAGATAACACTGTAATTCTTCCCACATAGTGTGATGATTTATGCCCTTGGCACCTTACAGTGTTAATAGGACAGAGGGGCATGAATTCTCTGTTGTTAATACAGAAATCCTTCTTGCAACTTTAGCTCTGCCATCCCATGTGGCGCTGGTCAGAGAAGTAAAATCAAACCAAACACGTCCAATAACAGCAGATGCTTAAGTACTTTTTACACTGTTGACTTTGTGGAGCTGTTTTCTCTTCAGGATGGAATAATTTGAAACACCTTTCCCACCAGTTCATCCACTCTGGCAGCAGCTAAGCAGCTCCATGGGGGCTCCCTAATCTCGATGGCTGCAAGGTTAGGTCCCCTGAAGGCCGAGCATGGCCCAAGATGCCCTTGCTTGGCCACATGTTTCAAAGGACATCTGCAAATCATTGTGCAAAACCGAAAAGTACAAATTCACCACAGCTCGATTCTCTCGTGTTGTGTGATATTTCCTGTTTTGATGGTTTCCTTGGTATCGTATATTGGCTGTGAAACGCAAGCTGCTCTAAATGACTCAAATTTATAGATCCTTTGATCAATTATCTTGTCATGTTACTCAATTGCTAGATAATTGAGAGGAGGATTAAACAATCTCCATATGTAAATATGACTTAATTGTTGAAAAATTCTGTTTTTAGCATGTGCTGAAAGAGTCTTACCCC